TGCAGTTAGGTTGAGAAAGTAAAGCACTGCTTTTGTAGTACTGGCCATCATGGAAATCTCTGAGTACACCATCATTCTTTGACTTGTTCTGTTGGATAGCCTCCCATACACCAGGCAGTTCCAAGAAGTTTTTCAATACTGCCTGCAAAGGCACATATGACATTGTGTCACACTTCACAACCTGAGTTGTAACTCCTGATATCCTATGGTTCTGCTGCTCAATTCTGTGACCGAGTACTATTTCTTGTGGCATTATGAGAGACCCTTCTCTCACAAAGTATTTGTTCTCCATGTACTGAGATGTAAGACCATGGAATGGTTGTTCATGGAGCTCAAACTTGGACTGTACCTCATCTAAAATGTTGTTCAGGTCCTCTGGATTCTCAGCAACACTTTTCAATTTCATTTGAGTGAATTTGTGTAGATGTTCCACAATATCTTTTACAATACTGGAAGAGTTCTCTACAACCATGTCCGCGTTATGCATAGTCATCGACCCACTGGCTCGCAGTTTGGCTATAAATGCAGCTGCTGGTTTACAGACGCCGTGCTCATCATGTACTGACCACTCTGTTGCATCAACCATGGAGGAATCAACACCGTCATCTTGCTCATCTGGGGTTTCATTTCCAATTTCAATGTCTGACTCGTATGCGTTAATGCCATCACCATCATTGTTATCCTGCTCAATTACAGCTTCTTCACATTCTGGGTGCAACTGAAGTAGGTGTTTGCGGTAAGAACTATACCTAGAGAATGTGCGCATACAACCATCTTGATAACACATAAATATTTCATCATCACTTATTACATTGTGCATTGTTCTGAGATGCCATCTCATTTGAGAAACTCTAGGAATTTCCTTTTTACATTTGAAACAGGTATAGCCCATATTTCACAGAAGGTCAGAAAGTATTGAGTCAAAAACCTTTAGCTCCTGTAGCTTCCGAAGAAACTTTGCCCTGGGGCCAACTTTCGGGAAGATGTCTCGAATCAAGTCTTCGTCGAGGATCAAGAAACTCTCTTGATCAATTTCTTCCTCTGTAAACAAATAATAAAAAAAAAATTCTATTAAAATCTTTTATTAGGTCAGTCCTAATTTTCCAGTTAAAATAATAATCTGTCTGATTGGTTCTTAAAAGGCATGTTTATCACTGCCATGTGGTTTGAAGACACCTGGAAATAGGATTATTAAATTCCAATAGCATGTATTATTGTACTGTTCATACATTGCCATCACGTATTTCCCCAAGTATATTGCAAATGCGGAGGTGTTTGTTTTGGGCACATGTTTGTTTATGCTAATGAGATGTCATATAAGACAAATTCTACTGCATATGATAATTGATTTATGTAAAAATGTTGACTTTTGGGTCTTTACTTAAGTCAGGTCTGTTAATTGTTTTATTTGCTCGTTATTTAATTCTTATGTAAGTACAATAAATACTGCTTTCCTGTGCAATGTGACTTTCACTTTAACTATGTGGACGGTTGTTGTGTCTGCTTTAGCTGCCTTGTATAAAAATCACAGCAGCGCCCACGTGTGTCAGGAAATAGCATGAAAATTATAAATAGCTAAAGAAGACACTGTCTATATTTTAAAACAAAACGGCCTCCCAATTTTGTTCAAATAACTGCAGTAGCATGGATATCTGCCAAAACAGTGGCCAAACATTTTATTCAATTCCAGGGGACTACAAAACAGTACTTTTTTCATTACTAGTAAGCACATGAACCCACGCTCCTATAACCCGCTCTTTAGAAAATCCCGCCCATTGACAATCAATTTGTAATGCTTACAATTGTGGATGTTTAAACAAAATCTTGAATAGACTTGCCTCTGAATCTATCTATCATGTTTTCTATCCCCCATTCTGTCAGTTTGTCTGTAACATAGTTGTCCATGGGTCCAAAGATGTGATCAACTATGCAAGGGAGATTAAAGGGAGACACAATATTTGACAGTGGTTACACAATTTTAAATTTGCTGTGGACATAATAGTTTCACAAAACCTAAAATAGATTACACACAATGTGTTTAATCCAAGGCTATCCTAGCCACTATATCTAACCCCATGTGTACATGAGTTTTCCAACTGGTCAGAATTCCTCTGAAAAGGACCACATAGGATACATTATTTCAACCAAACTGGTAACTTTAATGAAGTCAGAACTGAGCTCTAAAGTAAAATTCGTTATTTGACCAAAAAAAATGAAATCAGAACCTATCAGAAAGCCTATCTATACTGAAATAACGCATACAAAAATTACTAAAGATATCCTACACTCTAGCCAGAACTTGGCAAGTTTATAAAACAAAGAAGCCTCTTCACCAAAAAATGGGGAAAAAAATCCTTAGTTGTTTCTGGCCAAACTCTGCCAACAAATCAAAAGCCAGAGACACTAATGTCCCAACTCTGCCCAACTGGTACTGGCCTCTGAAATTCAATCGAACATAGGGTAGTATATTAACCACAGTCCGAGACATTTTGTCCCAGGCTAGCATGGCTACTTTATTAACCACGACCCCAGAATTGATTACCCTACCATGTGTCTCCGGAATGTCCAACCCAGGCTTTGGCCCAAGGCCGAGGCCTGGAGGTCTGGCTGGGCCACGAGGCCCGAGGCTTGGGTGGGCCACGAGGCCTGGCTGGGCCAAAGAAAATCTCAACTCAACTTTTATACAAAAAACATCAGGAAAATAATCTATATTATAAACTCTCTGAGACAAGAGTTATTTAAGCAAAATAACATCCGAAGAAAAATCAAGAAATAAATCCGCAACCAGAACCAAAATATCGTCAATTTTGACCCAGAGTGTGGCCGTCACAATTAAAAAGTTGAACGATGAACAACTGACAAAACTGAAAAGAAAATTAACTTTCTTCAAGCCCAAAATATGAGACACAGTCTTGAAAACCAGTGAGAAAAAAGTCTAAGCTTTCTTCAAAGTACATCAACCTGCAAATTATGCCAAGATAAAATAAAATCTCTTGCTAAGGTACCAGAGAAAATTACTCGCTAAAACTAGGTGGTTCACCTTTTACCTTTACAAAATGGTCAAGTGACCACAGATGATAAATGTTCGAAATGCAAAACATACACAGATAATCTGTTTAAGTTGATACCATATAAAATGTAAACATATCCTACCTGAAAGGCAGAGGAAACAGTCAAAAGATGCAAGCAGTGGGATTGTCGAAGCATGGAGCAAGGAACACAGGTAGCAGTTTGGTAGTTTGAAATCGCATGTGTGCAGACAGTGCTGACCACTTCCATCCTCGTGGTTTCAGGAACATTCCACTTTTATACAGGGTCATTCCAGAGTAAATGCAGTAAATTAAATGTTTGACATCTTTGACAAACAGGACTGGAATTTTAATTCCTTGTTTGCCATTGAATCGCTTGTATTATTGACAGATTTTTTCATACAATTATATTACATTTTCCTTTGATATTCCTGTGAAAAGCTAGAACACTGCTCATCTTGCACCCCCAAAATAGTGGATTTGGTCCTACCGTGATTGGTTACCGGTCAACCAACCTATATCTGGCCACTTCAAGTCGACCACTGTTTTGGTTAAAACTAATAAGGACTGATATGTCTGAACAAATATATAAAAAAAGGATTGCTTCATTGCTGACCCAATGTGATTCGCTGCTTGACAATTAACCAACCCAATGGTTACGAATTGTGACCAATATCAACCAATAAGGATTGGTTCGTTGCTATAGACCAATGCCATTGGTTGCTTGACAACCAATCACATTTGTCACTTCACCAATGCAAAAGTTAAAAAATTGGTCGGATAACTGAACCAATATGATTAATTGCCGGAAATATTGGTCACATTTTACCAATGTACTGGTTAACGGATTTGGTTGGTGGCTCAGCCAATGTGGAAGTGATAAAATTGTTGCCGAGCGCAACCAAGGTATTGGTCACTTTTGACCAATGTATTGGTTAAATGTTTGGTTACTGCTCAACCAATGTGGTTGGTAGACCGTGGCCGAGCAACCAACATATTGGTCACCTTTGACCAATGTATTGGTTAAAGGATTGGCTTATTGCTCAACCAATGTGATTGGTCGAGCAACCAACATATTGGTCACTTTTGACCAATGGATTGGTTAAGGGATTGGTTTACTGCTCAACCAATGTAATTGGTTGAATTAACCAACACATTGGTTACTATTGACCAATATATTGGTTATGGATTGGCTTATTGCTCAACCAATGTGATTGGTTGCTGATCGACCAACATATTGGTTAGTATTGACCAATGTATTGGTTAAAGGATTGGTTTATTTAACAACCAATGTAATTGGTTGTCGAACAACCAACATATTGGTTACTATTGACCAATGTATTGGTTAAAGGATTGGTTTATAGCTCAACCAATGTGATTGGCTGCTGAGCAACCAACATCATTGGTTAGTATTGACCAATGTATTGGTTAAAAGATTGGTTTATTGCTCAACCGATGTAATTGGTTGTCGAACAACCAACACATTGGTTACTATTGACCAATGTATTGGTTAAAAGATTGGTTTATTGCTCAACCAATGTGATTGGGTGTCGAACAACCAACACATTGGTTACTATTGACCAATGTATTGGTTAAAAGATTGGTTTATTGCTCAACCAATGTGATTGGGTGTCGAACAACCAACACATTGGTTACTATTGACCAATGTATTGGTTAAAGGATTGGTTTATTGCCCAACCAATAAGATTGGTTGGTGGACAACCAACGTATTGGTCACTAGTTAACCAATATATTGGTTAGAAACAACCAATATGGGGTCAACCAATTAGATTGGTAGTTTTTTCAACCAATCCGTTTTTAGAGTGCACCATAATTAAAATGCCTCATAATGTGTTTCATTAAAGAATCTTTCTTACTTTCTCATATTAAATTTGAACCGTAGATAATCAAGACCCTGTCATCAAGTAAACCAAGTAAAGTAGCAATTTCGTATCTTTATCAATATCCTAGATAACCAAACACCACTATTACAATGCCCCACTGATGTGGAGGAATCTACCATAGATGGATCAGATATGGGCATGGCTAGCTGGTCACTTGCAACTGTGACTGACAACTCTGGCGTAGTGTCGACTCCTGTTGCCTCTCACACATCAGGACAAATGTTCACAATTGGTGTACACACTGTGGAGTTTACTGCCATGGACCCTCACCCTGATGACAACTTGGGACGATGCAACTTCACCGTCACAATCACTGGTATTGCTGTTCTTCAAAAGAACGTTTTCTTTTACTTACATGTCTTACTACTTATTTTCATCGAAACAATCAGAACGAACCTGAACAGACGTATTGTATTATACGATTTTGCTAAATATTTCAGAAGGGACATCAATTGCGAAGTAACTAATCCCAGAAATCAATACGCTGATGTCGAAAAAAATATCGGAATTATAATAATTAATAATTTACCAATGGTACGGATCGGCTATTATTTGTTCTCTCTCTCTCTAAGTCGGTAGACTAACCAAAACCCAGCAGATAATAAACATAATACGCAGTACTTCGCTGGTAACTCGGTCCATGGTGCCGACAGACAGACCTGGACTGCCTAACGACTTGAAATTTGTATCCATGCTGGAATTAGCTCTCTAAATTATCACATTGCGTTTACATTGGAAACGCCTTGTGGAAGGCGTTGTTTAAGTAAATTTAACACCCTTTTTAGCTTAAATGCGCCTATGTTTTGCATGGTTTAAAAAGTTGAACAATGTAAAACCGAGGGTTCGACGCGTTACTAACCTAAACATATTGATAACAATATCACATAAAGAATTGTGTTCGTTGTATTTTTTAAATTCATTTTTATCTCTTTAATTCAGATAATGAGTCTCCAGATTTCGATTCTTGTGAGAATGTAACTTTAGTTACCGAGTCGGATACAGATTACACAAGTACACTCCCAAGTACACCAACGTCAAATGACAATGTAGCTGCGAGTGTAGAATGTTCGGAAAACAAATCGTCTTGAAATTGGTGTTTACCAAGTGTTTTGATTGCTAGCGAATCTACGATCAATACCGCGCAGTGTGAGTTTGAAATATATGTAGTATGTATGTTCATATAGTTTCCCTGTCAAATCTCCTCCGTAGATAATCAAGCCCCTGTCATCTCCTGCCCACCCAATGGATCATTTCCAACCGACCCAGGCCAACCAAACGCCACGGTGATGTTTCCTAATGACTACGTCGCTTCAGACAACTCAGGAGACTTCCAAGTTATCGTCACGGAATTAAGTCCTAACTCCAGTGAGCCTAATGGAATGACGTGGACCGTCGGGGACGCTGTGGTATTAGGCATTGGTGATCACACCTTTTTCTACCTGGTTACAGATGCCACTGGAAATGAGGACTACTGCGCTTGGGATGTTGAAGTTTATGGTAAGATTCTTTCTAACTTTAGATTGCCAGAAAGCGGATGGATATCCAACCCTAGCTGAAAATCAATAAACTGACATCAGCTAATAAAACAGAGTTTAATTCGTAAATCCAAGTGAAACATATACTGATATACCAGATGCACAATTGTCTTCACTTATATTAATACTAATGTGCTTATCCACTTTATAAGTGAAAAACCTAAATAACGGACTTCAGCTGCACAAGACAAAGTTAGGAACCGAATCGCTATATCCAGGTGAAACAAGTGTTTCTGATATAACGGATGCACAACTGTCTTCACAGTAAAATATATTTAAACTTTCTAACATTAGATTGCTGGAAGATGGCTGAATATTCAGCCATTTATATGACAAGCGTGGACCGACATCAGCTAAATTAAACAGAGTTAGGAACTGTATTCATATATCCAGGTGAAACAGGTGTTTCTGATATCTCATATGTATGATTGCCTGCACAATATGAGCTTTTTTTCAAACAGTGTTCTAACCGACCTAATAAGGTTCAGTTCCAATTTCTTGTATTGTAAATATCTTAGATTACCACCCACCATAATTAAAATGCCTCATAATGTGTTTCATTAAAGAATCTTTCTTACTTTCTCATATTAAATTTGAACCGTAGATAATCAAGGCCCTGTCATCAAGTAAACCAAGTAAAGTAGCAATTTCGTATCTTTATCAATATCCTAGATAACCAACCACCACTGTTACAATGCCCCACTGATGTGGAGGAATCTACCATAGATGGATCAGATATGGGCATGGCTAGCTGGTCACTTGCAACTGTGACTGACAACTCTGGCGTAGTGTCGACTCCTGTTGCCTCTCACACATCAGGACAAATGTTCACAATTGGTGTACACACTGTGGAGTTTACTGCCATGGACCCTCACCCTGATGGCAACTTGGGACGATGCAACTTCACCGTCACAATCACTGGTATTGCTGTTCTTCAAAAGAACGTTTTCTTTTACTTACATGTCTTACTACTTATTTTCATCGAAACAATCAGAACGAACCTGAACAGACGTATTGTAATATACGATTTTGCTAAATATTTCAGAAGGGACATCAATTGCGAAGTAACTAATCCCAGAAATCGATACGCTGATGTCGAAAAAAATATCGGAATTATAATAATTAATAATTTACCAATGGTACGGATCGGCTATTATTTGTTCTCTCTCGGAAGCTGAACTTTTTAAATAAAATTTGCCCAAAAGATGTTTTCTAAGTCGGTAGACTAACCAAAACCCAGCAGATAATAAACATAATACGCAGTACTTCGCTGGTAACTCGGTCCATGGTGCCGACAGACAGACCTGGACTGCCTAACGACTTGAAATTTGTATCCATGCTGGAATTAGCTCTCTAAATTATCACATTGCGTTTACATTGGAAACGCCTTGTGGAAGGCGTTGTTTAAGTAAATTTAACACCCTTTTTAGCTTAAATGCGCCTATGTTTTGCATGGTTTAAAAAGTTGAACAATGTAAAACCGAGGGTTCGACGCGTTACTAACCTAAACATATTGATAACAATATCACATAAAGAATTGTGTTCGTTGTATTTTTTAAATTCATTTTTATCTCTTTAATTCAGATAATGAGTCTCCAGATTTCGATTCTTGTGAGAATGTAACTTTAGTTACCGAGTCGGATACAGATTACACAAGTACACTCCCAAGTACACCAACGTCAAATGACAATGTAGCAGCGAGTGTAGAATGTTCGGAAAACAAATCGTCTTGAAATTGGTGTTTACCAAGTGTTTTGATTGCTAGCGAATCTACGATCAATACCGCGCAGTGTGAGTTTGAAATATATGTAGTATGTATGTTCATATAGTTTCCCTGTCAAATCTCCTCCGTAGATAATCAAGCCCCTGTCATCTCCTGCCCACCCAATGGATCATTTCCAACCGACCCAGGCCAACCAAACGCCACGGTGATGTTTCCTAATGACTACGTCGCTTCAGACAACTCAGGAGACTTCCAAGTTATCGTCACGGAATTAAGTCCTAACTCCAGTGAGCCTAATGGAATGACGTGGACCGTCGGGGACGCTGTGGTATTAGGCATTGGTGATCACACCTTTTTCTACCTGGTTACAGATGCCACTGGAAATGAGGACTACTGCGCTTGGGATGTTGAAGTTTATGGTAAGATTCTTTCTAACTTTAGATTGCCAGAAAGCGGATGGATATCCAACCCTAGCTGAAAATCAATAAACTGACATCAGCTAATAAAACAGAGTTTAATTCGTAAATCCAAGTGAAACATATACTGATATACCAGATGCACAATTGTCTTCACTTATATTAATACTAATGTGCTTATCCACTTTATAAGTGAAAAACCTAAATAACGGACTTCAGCTGCACAAGACAAAGTTAGGAACCGAATCGCTATATCCAGGTGAAACAAGTGTTTCTGATATAACGGATGCACAACTGTCTTCACAGTAAAATATATTTAAACTTTCTAACATTAGATTGCTGGAAGATGGCTGAATATTCAGCCATTTATATGACAAGCGTGGACCGACATCAGCTAAATTAAACAGAGTTAGGAACTGTATTCATATATCCAGGTGAAACAGGTGTTTCTGATATCTCATATGTATGATTGCCTGCACAATATGAGCTTTTTTTCAAACAGTGTTCTAACCGACCTAATAAGGTTCAGTTCCAATTTCTTGTATTGTAAATATCTTAGATTACCACCCACCATAATTAAAATGCCTCATAATGTGTTTCATTAAAGAATCTTTCTTACTTTCTCATATTAAATTTGAACCGTAGATAATCAAGGCCCTGTCATCAAGTAAACCAAGTAAAGTAGCAATTTCGTATCTTTATCAATATCCTAGATAACCAACCACCACTGTTACAATGCCCCACTGATGTGGAGGAATCTACCATAGATGGATCAGATATGGGCATGGCTAGCTGGTCACTTGCAACTGTGACTGACAACTCTGGCGTAGTGTCGACTCCTGTTGCCTCTCACACATCAGGACAAATGTTCACAATTGGTGTACACACTGTGGAGTTTACTGCCATGGACCCTCACCCTGATGGCAACTTGGGACGATGCAACTTCACCGTCACAATCACTGGTATTGCTGTTCTTCAAAAGAACGTTTTCTTTTACTTACATGTCTTACTACTTATTTTCATCGAAACAATCAGAACGAACCTGAACAGACGTATTGTAATATACGATTTTGCTAAATATTTCAGAAGGGACATCAATTGCGAAGTAACTAATCCCAGAAATCGATACGCTGATGTCGAAAAAAATATCGGAATTATAATAATTAATAATTTACCAATGGTACGGATCGGCTATTATTTGTTCTCTCTCGGAAGCTGAACTTTTTAAATAAAATTTGCCCAAAAGATGTTTTCTAAGTCGGTAGACTAACCAAAACCCAGCAGATAATAAACATAATACGCAGTACTTCGCTGGTAACTCGGTCCATGGTGCCGACAGACAGACCTGGACTGCCTAACGACTTGAAATTTGTATCCATGCTGGAATTAGCTCTCTAAATTATCACATTGCGTTTACATTGGAAACGCCTTGTGGAAGGCGTTGTTTAAGTAAATTTAACACCCTTTTTAGCTTAAATGCGCCTATGTTTTGCATGGTTTAAAAAGTTGAACAATGTAAAACCGAGGGTTCGACGCGTTACTAACCTAAACATATTGATAACAATATCACATAAAGAATTGTGTTCGTTGTATTTTTTAAATTCATTTTTATCTCTTTAATTCAGATAATGAGTCTCCAGATTTCGATTCTTGTGAGAATGTAACTTTAGTTACCGAGTCGGATACAGATTACACAAGTACACTCCCAAGTACACCAACGTCAAATGACAATGTAGCAGCGAGTGTAGAATGTTCGGAAAACAAATCGTCTTGAAATTGGTGTTTACCAAGTGTTTTGATTGCTAGCGAATCTACGATCAATACCGCGCAGTGTGAGTTTGAAATATATGTAGTATGTATGTTCATATAGTTTCCCTGTCAAATCTCCTCCGTAGATAATCAAGCCCCTGTCATCTCCTGCCCACCCAATGGATCATTTCCAACCGACCCAGGCCAACCAAACGCCACGGTGATGTTTCCTAATGACTACGTCGCTTCAGACAACTCAGGAGACTTCCAAGTTATCGTCACGGAATTAAGTCCTAACTCCAGTGAGCCTAATGGAATGACGTGGACCGTCGGGGACGCTGTGGTATTAGGCATTGGTGATCACACCTTTTTCTACCTGGTTACAGATGCCACTGGAAATGAGGACTACTGCGCTTGGGATGTTGAAGTTTATGGTAAGATTCTTTCTAACTTGAGATTGCCAGAAAGCGGATGGATATCCAACCCTAGCTGAAAATCAATAAACTGACATTAACTAATAAAACAGAGTTTAATTCGTAAATCCAAGTGAAACATATACTGATATACCAGATGCACAATTGTCTTCACTTATATTAATACTAATGTGCTTATCCACTTTATAAGTGAAAAACCTAAATAACGGACTTCAGCTGCACAAGACAAAGTTAGGAACCGAATCGCTATATCCAGGTGAAACAAGTGTTTCTGATATAACGGATGCACAACTGTCTTCACAGTGAAATATATTTAAACTTTCTAACATTAGATTGCTGGAAGATGGCTGAATATTCAGCCATTTATATGACAAGCGTGGACCGACATCAGCTAAATTAAACAGAGTTAGGAACTGTATTCATATATCCAGGTGAAACAGGTGTTTCTGATATCTCATATGTATGATTGCCTGCACAATATGAGCTTTTTTTCAAACAGTGTTCTAACCGACCTAATAAGGTTCGGTTCCAATTTCTTGTATTGTAAATATCTTAGATTACCACCCACCATAATTAAAATGCCTCATAATGTGTTTCATTAAAGAATCTTTCTTACTTTCTCATATTAAATTTGAACCGTAGATAATCAAGACCCTGTCATCAAGTAAACCAAGTAAAGTAGCAATTTTGTATTTTTATCAATATCCTAGATAACCAACCACCACTATTACAATGCCCCACTGATGTGGAGGAATCTACCATAGATGGATCAGATATGGGCATGGCTAGCTGGTCACTTGCAACTGTGACTGACAACTCTGGCGTAGTGTCGACTCCTGTTGCCTCTCACACATCAGGACAAATGTTCACAATTGGTGTACACACTGTGGAGTTTACTGCCATGGACCCTCACCCTGATGGCAACTTGGGACGATGCAACTTCACCGTCACAATCACTGGTATTGCTGTTCTTCAAAAGAACGTTTTCTTTTACTTACATGTCTTACTACTTATTTTCATCGAAACAATCAGAACGAACCTGAACAGACGTATTGTATTATACGATTTTGCTAAATATTTCAGAAGGGACATCAATTGCGAAGTAACTAATCCCAGAAATCAATACGCTGATGTCGAAAAAAATATCGGAATTATAATAATTAATAATTTACCAATGGTACGGATCGGCTATTATTTGTTCTCTCTCGGAAGCTGAACTTTTTAAATAAAATTAACCCAAAAGATGTTTTCTAAGTCGGTAGACTAACCAAAACCCAGCAGATAATAAACATAATACGCAGTACTTCGCTGGTAACTCGGTCCATGGTGCCGACAGACAGACCTGGACTGCCTAACGACTTGAAATTTGTATCCATGCTGGAATTAGCTCTCTAAATTATCACATTGCGTTTACATTGGAAACGCCTTGTGGAAGGCGTTGTTTAAGTAAATTTAACACCCTTTTTAGCTTAAATGCGCCTATGTTTTGCATGGTTTAAAAAGTTGAACAATGTAAAACCGAGGGTTCGACGCGTTACTAACCTAAACATATTGATAACAATATCACATAAAGAATTGTGTTCGTTGTATTTTTTAAATTCATTTTTATCTCTTTAATTCAGATAATGAGTCTCCAGATTTCGATTCTTGTGAGAATGTAACTTTAGTTACCGAGTCGGATACAGATTACACAAGTACACTCCCAAGTACACCAACGTCAAATGACAATGTAGCAGCGAGTGTAGAATGTTCGGAAAACAAATCGTCTTGAAATTGGTGTTTACCAAGTGTTTTGATTGCTAGCGAATCTACGATCAATACCGCGCAGTGTGAGTTTGAAATATATGTAGTATGTATGTTCATATAGTTTCCCTGTCAAATCTCCTCCGTAGATAATCAAGCCCCTGTCATCTCCTGCCCACCCAATGGATCATTTCCAACCGACCCAGGCCAACCAAACGCCACGGTGATGTTTCCTAATGACTACGTCGCTTCAGACAACTCAGGAGACTTCCAAGTTATCGTCACGGAATTAAGTCCTAACTCCAGTGAGCCTAATGGAATGACGTGGACCGTCGGGGACGCTGTGGTATTAGGCATTGGTGATCACAACTTTTTCTACCTGGTTACAGATGCCACTGGAAATGAGGACTACTGCGCTTGGGATGTTGAAGTTTATGGTAAGATTCTTTCTAACTTTAGATTGCCAGAAAGCGGATGGATATCCAACCCTAGCTGAAAATCAATAAACTGACATCAGCTAATAAAACAGAGTTTAATTCGTAAATCCAAGTGAAACATATACTGATATACCAGATGCACAATTGTCTTCACTTATATTAATACTAATGTGCTTATCCACTTTATAAGTGAAAAACCTAAATAACGGACTTCAGCTGCACAAGACAAAGTTAGGAACCGAATCGCTATATCCAAGTGAAACAAGTGTTTCTGATATAACGGATGCACAACTGTCTTCACAGTAAAATATATTTAAACTTTCTAACATTAGATTGCTGGAAGATGGCTGAATATTCAGCCATTTATATGACAAGCGTGGACCGACATCAGCTAAATTAAACAGAGTTAGGAACTGTATTCATATATCCAGGTGAAACAGGTGTTTCTGATATCTCATATGTATGATTGCCTGCACAATATGAGCTTTTTTTCAAACAGTGTTCTAACCGACCTAATAAGGTTCAGTTCCAATTTCTTGTATTGTAAATATCTTAGATTACCACCCACCATAATTAAAATGCCTCATAATGTGTTTCATTAAAGAATCTTTCTTACTTTCTCATATTAAATTTGAACCGTAGATAATCAAGACCCTGTCATCAAGTAAACCAAGTAAAGTAGCAATTTCGTATCTTTATCAATATCCTAGATAACCAACCACCACTGTTACAATGCCCCACTGATGTGGAGGAATCTACCATAGATGGATCAGATATGGGCATGGCTAGCTGGTCACTTGCAACTGTGACTGACAACTCTGGCGTAGTGTCGACTCCTGTTGCCTCTCACACATCAGGACAAATGTTCACAATTGGTGTACACACTGTGGAGTTTACTGCCATGGACCCTCACCCTGATGGCAACTTGGGACGATGCAACTTCACCGTCACAATCACTGGTATTGCTGTTCTTCAAAAGAACGTTTTCTTTTACTTACATGTCTTACTACTTATTTTCATCGAAACAATCAGAACAAACCTGAACAGACGTATTGTAATATACGATTTTGCTAAATATTTCAGAAGGGACATCAATTGCGAAGTAACTAATCCCAGAAATCAATACGCTGATGTCGAAAAAAATATCGGAATTATAATAATTAATAATTTACCAATGGTACGGATCGGCTATTATTTGTTCTCTCTCGGAAGCTGAACTTTTTAAATAAAATTTGCCCAAAAGATGTTTTCTAAGTCGGTAGACTAACCAAAACCCAGCAGATAATAAACATAATACGCAGTACTTCGCTGGTAACTCGGTCCATGGTGCCGACAGACAGACCTGGACTGCCTAACGACTTGAAATTTGTATCCATGCTGGAATTAGCTCTCTAAATTATCACATTGCGTTTACATTGGAAACGCCTTGTGGAAGGCGTTGTTTAAGTAAATTTAACACCCTTTTTAGCTTAAATGCGCCTATGTTTTGCATGGTTTAAAAAGTTGAACAATGTAAAACCGAGGGTTCGACGCGTTACTAACCTAAACATATTGATAACAATATCACATAAAGAATTGTGTTCGTTGTATTTTTTAAATTCATTTTTATCTCTTTAATTCAGATAATGAGTCTCCAGATTTCGATTCTTGTGAGAATGTAACTTTAGTTACCGAGTCGGATACAGATTACACAAGTACACTCCCAAGTACACCAACGTCAAATGACAATGTAGCAGCGAGTGTAGAATGTTCGGAAAACAAATCGTCTTGAAATTGGTGTTTACCAAGTGTTTTGATTGCTAGCGAATCTACGATCAATACCGCGCAGTGTGAGTTTGAAATATATGTAGTATGTATGTTCATATAGTTTCCCTGTCAAATCTCCTCCGTAGATAATCAAGCCCCTGTCATCTCCTGCCCACCCAATGGATCATTTCCAACCGACCCAGGCCAACCAAACGCCACGGTGATGTTTCCTAATGACTACGTCGCTTCAGACAACTCAGGAGACTTCCAAGTTATCGTCACGGAATTAAGTCCTAACTCCAGTGAGCCTAATGGAATGACGTGGACCGTCGGGGACGCTGTGGTATTAGGCATTGGTGATCACACCTTTTTCTACCTGGTTACAGATGCCACTGGAAATGAGGACTACTGCGCTTGGGATGTTGAAGTTTATGGTAAGATTCTTTCTAACTTGAGATTGCCAGAAAGCGGATGGATATCCAACCCTAGCTGAAAATCAATAAACTGACATCAGCTAATAAAACAGAGTTTAATTCGTAAATCCAAGTGAAACATATACTGATATACCAGATGCACAATTGTCTTCACTTATATTAATACTAATGTGCTTATCCACTTTATAAGTGAAAAACCTAAATAACGGACTTCAGCTGCACAAGACAAAGTTAGGAACCGAATCGCTATATCCAGGTGAAACAAGTGTTTCTGATATAACGGATGCACAACTGTCTTCACAGTAAAATATATTTAAACTTTCTAACATTAGATTGCTGGAAGATGGCTGAATATTCAGCCATTTATATGACAAGCGTGGACCGACATCAGCTAAATTAAACAGAGTTAGGAACTGTATTCATATATCCAGGTGAAACAGGTGTTTCTGATATCTCATATGTATGATTGCCTGCACAATATGAGCTTTTTTTCAAACAGTGTTCTAACCGACCTAATAAGGTTCGGTTCCAATTTCTTGTATTGTAAATATCTTAGATTACCACCCACCATAATTAAAATGCCTCATAATGTGTTTCATTAAAGAATCTTTCTTACTTTCTCATATTAAATTTGAACCGTAGATAATCAAGACCCTGTCATCAAGTAAACCAAGTAAAGTAGCAATTTTGTATTTTTATCAATATCCTAGATAACCAACCACCACTATTACAATGCCCCACTGATGTGGAGGAATCTACCATAGATGGATCAGATATGGGCATGGCTAGCTGGTCACTTGCAACTGTGACTGACAACTCTGGCGTAGTGTCGACTCCTGTTGCCTCTCACACATCAGGACAAATGTTCACAATTGGTGTACACACTGTGGAGTTTACTGCCATGGACCCTCACCCTGATGGCAACTTGGGACGATGCAACTTCACCGTCACAATCACTGGTATTGCTGTTCTTCAAAAGAACGTTTTCTTTTACTTACATGTCTTACTACTTATTTTCATCGAAACAATCAGAACGAACCTGAACAGACGTATTGTATTATACGATTTTGCTAAATATTTCAGAAGGGACATCAATTGCGAAGTAACTAATCCCAGAAATCAATACGCTGATGTCGAAAAAAATATCGGAATTATAATAATTAATAATTTACCAATGGTACGGATCGGCTATTATTTGTTCTCTCTCGGAAGCTGAACTTTTTAAATAAAATTTGCCCAAAAGATGTTTTCTAAGTCGGTAGACTAACCAAAACCCAGCAGATAATAAACATAATACGCAGTACTTCGCTGGTAACTCGGTCCATGGTGCCGACAGACAGACCTGGACTGCCTAACGACTTGAAATTTGTATCCATGCTGGAATTAGCTCTCTAAATCATCACATTGCGTTTACATTGGAAACGCCTTGTGGAAGGCGTTGTTTAAGTAAATTTAACACCCTTTTTAGCTTAAATGCGCCTATGTTTTGCATGGTTTAAGAAGTTGAACAATGTAAAACCGAGGGTTCGACGCGTTACTAACCTAAACATATTGATAACAATATCACATAAAGAATTGTGTTCGTTGTATTTTTTAAATTCATTTTTATCTCTTTAATTCAGATAATGAGTCTCCAGATTTCGATTCTTGTGAGAATGTAACTTTAGTTACCGAGTCGGATACAGATTACACAAGTACACTCCCAAGTACACCAACGTCAAATGACAATGTAGCAGCGAGTGTAGAATGTTCGGAAAACAAATCGTCTTGAAATTGGTGTTTACCAAGTGTTTTGATTGCTAGCGAATCTACGATCAATACCGCGCAGTGTGAGTTTGAAATATATGTAGTATGTATGTTCATATAGTTTCCCTGTCAAATCTCCTCCGTAGATAATCAAGCCCCTGTCATCTCCTGCCCACCCAATGGATCATTTCCAACCGACCCAGGCCAACCAAACGCCACGGTGATGTTTCCTAATGACTACGTCGCTTCAGACAACTCAGGAGACTTCCAAGTTATCGTCACGGAATTAAGTCCTAACTCCAGTGAGCCTAATGGAATGACGTGGACCGTCGGGGACGCTGTGGTATTAGGCATTGGTGATCACACCTTTTTCTACCTGGTTACAGATGCCACTGGAAATGAGGACTACTGCGCTTGGGATGTTGAAGTTTATGGTAAGATTCTTTCTAACTTTAGATTGCCAGAAAGCGGATGGATATCCAACCCTAGCTGAAAATCAATAAACTGACATCAGCTAATAAAACAGAGTTTAATTCGTAAATCCAAGTGAAACATATACTGATATACCAGATGCACAATTGTCTTCACTTATATTAATACTAATGTGCTTATCCACTTTATAAGTGAAAAACCTAAATAACGGACTTCAGCTGCACAAGACAGAGTTAGGAACCGAATCGCTATATCCAGGTGAAACAAGTGTTTCTGATATAACGGATGCACAACTGTCTTAACAGTAAAATATATTTAAACTTTCTAACATTAGATTGCTGGAAGATGGCTGAATATTCAGCCATTTATATGACAAGCGTGGACCGACATCAGCTAAATTAAACAGAGTTAGGAACTGTATTCATATATCCAGGTGAAACAGGTGTTTCTGATATCTCATATGTATGATTGCCTGCACAATATGAGCTTTTTTTCAAACAGTGTTCTAACCGACCTAATAAGGTTCGGTTCCAATTTCTTGTATTGTAAATATCTTAGATTACCACCCACCATAATTAAAATGCCTCATAATGTGTTTCATTAAAGAATCTTTCTTACTTTCTCATATTAAATTTGAACCGTAGATAATCAAGACCCTGTCATCAAGTAAACCAAGTAAAGTAGCAATTTTGTATTTTTATCAATATCCTAGATAACCAACCACCACTATTACAATGCCCCACTGATGTGGAGGAATCTACCATAGATGGATCAGATATGGGCATGGCTAGCTGGTCACTTGCAACTGTGACTGACAACTCTGGCGTAGTGTCGACTCCTGTTGCCTCTCACACATCAGGACAAATGTTCACAATTGGTGTACACACTGTGGAGTTTACTGCCATGGACCCTCACCCTGATGGCAACTTGGGACGATGCAACTTCACCGTCACAATCACTGGTATTGCTGTTCTTCAAAAGAACGTTTTCTTTTACTTACATGTCTTACTACTTATTTTCATCGAAACAATCAGAACGAACCTGAACAGACGTATTGTATTATACGATTTTGCTAAATATTTCAGAAGGGACATCAATTGCGAAGTAACTAATCCCAGAAATCAATACGCTGATGTCGAAAAAAATATCGGAATTATAATAATTAATAATTTACCAATGGTACGGATCGGCTATTATTTGTTCTCTCTCGGAAGCTGAACTTTTTAAATAAAATTTGCCCAAAAGATGTTTTCTAAGTCGGTAGACTAACCAAAACCCAGCAGATAATAAACATAATACGCAGTACTTCGCTGGTAACTCGGTCCATGGTGCCGACAGACAGACCTGGACTGCCTAACGACTTGAAATTTGTATCCATGCTGGAATTAGCTCTCTAAATTATCACATTGCGTTTACATTGGAAACGCCTTGTGGAAGGCGTTGTTTAAGTAAATTTAACACCCTTTTTAGCTTAAATGCGCCTATGTTTTGCATGGTTTAAAAAGTTGAACAATGTAAAACCGAGGGTTCGACGCGTTACTAACCTAAACATATTGATAACAATATCACATAAAGAATTGTGTTCGTTGTATTTTTTAAATTCATTTTTATCTCTTATCTCCAGATTTCGATTCTTGTGAGAATGTAACTTTAGTTACCGAGTCGGATACAGATTACACAAGTACACTCCCAAGTACACCAACGTCAAATGGCAATGTAGCAGCGAGTGTAGAATGTTCGGAAAACAAATCGTCTTGAAATTGGTGTTTACCAAGTGTTTTGATTGCTAGCGAATCTACGATCAATACCGCGCAGTGTGAGTTTGAAATATATGTAGTATGTATGTTCATATAGTTTCCCTGTCAAATCTCCTCCGTAGATAATCAAGCCCCTGTCATCTCCTGCCCACCCAATGGATCATTTCCAACCGACCCAGGCCAACCAAACGCCACGGTGATGTTTCCTAATGACTACGTCGCTTCAGACAACTCAGGAGACTTCCAAGTTATCGTCACGGAATTAAGTCCTATCTCCAGTGAGCCTAATGGAATGACGTGGACCGTCGGGGACGCTGTGGTATTAGGCATTGGTGATCACACCTTTTTCTACCTGGTTACAGATGCCACTGGAAATGAGGACTACTGCGCTTGGGATGTTGAAGTTTATGGTAAGATTTTTTCTAACTTTAGATTGCCAGAAAGCGGATGGATATCCAACCCTAGCTGAAAATCAATAAACTGACATCAGCTAATAAAACAGAGTTTAATTCGTAAATCCAAGTGAAACATATACTGATATACCAGATGCACAATTGTCTTCACTTATATTAATACTAATGTGCTTATCCACTTAATAATAGTTAAATTCCAGTTCTGTTTATCTTTGACAATGTCATATGTAACAAGCCGCCATATTTATACTACTACTGCGTCAACTCAGAGTAGGGGGCCAGCGTCGGCAGCGATGACCGACTCTCCACTTCTCTCACTCCCTCATCAGTATGTTCAATTCATCTATATGAGCCGCGACGTTGTCTTGTAGGAGCGTGTTGACCCATAGTCCTGGGAGGGCGCCCAGTGTTCACCCCCCGTGTTTGGGCTCCCATGTGATGACTTGACTTGGTAGGTTGCCCAGGGTGGCGTAAACAGTGCCCTGCAAGTTGCAGTCTTCTTGCCTCGAGTTTAGTGGTACGCATCGGTAGGTCGTCATAGAGCTGGACAATCGTCATGTGCTGTTGCCGACTGATGTCAAGAGCCATCCAGAGCTTTCGTGGATAATATCTAGTGACTTAAGCATGGTCTCGGTGAGTGTCCATGTCTTGCATTCGTAAGTGAGAATGGACTGTATGGCACCTATGGACTTCCTCTTTTTGAGCCCTATGATCAGGTTCGACTTGCAGAACTTCATAGCCCTCCACACCTGCGCCTTCCGTACCTTTATATCCTTTTCCGAACTTAACTTTCTTGACCCAAAGTACTTGGAGTCTAGGACTTTTTTGATGTTGTCATTCTTGACGGCATTGCGAGTACCTTCGTCGCAGTTGAACGTCATTTACTCTGTCTTTTAGGCGTTCAGTTGAAGTCCAACTTTATTGTACTCAATTTCTACTCCAGAAAGTCCAGATCTGTGACCGTAACTGGTCCAACCCTTTTGGTTCGTCCTGGTTTAACGGTGAAACCAAGCTTCTCACGAACTTTTGCAGCTTGACGTACAGCATAATGAAGGACACCAGCTAGGAGCTCGAACACTGCTGTTTCTCCGTCCGGTGATACAACTTTCTCAATGGTCTTGGCATAGCTGGCCTATATTGCTTTTAGATGACAGCCCGGCACTCCGTAGACTTTTAGGATCTTCAGCATTTTACCCCGGTGGATGGAGTCAAAAGCTTTAAGAAAATCAATGAAAGTGAACATGGCTGAAGGTTGTTTTTCTTGACTTCCTGGATGATTCTGCAGAGAGCAATTTGTTGTGCTCCCGTTGTGCGCTTCTGCTAAAACCTTTCTTACAGAGGTTCAACGAGTCAGCGATTTTTGTGACTCGAGTCCAATCGAGTCATTTTCAAGAAGTGACTCAAGTCGAGTCGAGTCATTAGGTCAAGAGGGTCGAGTCGAGTCCAGTCCAGTCACAGTGTGTAGTCGAGTCGAGTCGAGTCAAATATTTGAACACAATATATTAAATAAAGAAAAGAGAGAAAGTCATTTATATGCACAGACAGCACACAAGAGGTGAAACGTTGGTTTCATAGGCTATCTGGTTTGGTTTCGGGTCTAGAATATCGTCCAGGCCGCAGTTCTTCATAATTTCTGCTGGTATCCCGTGTGGTCCAGCGCTTTTACCCTGCTTGAGTGCGTACTTGACCTCTTTCAGTTCCTCCATGGTTAATGGACCGTCATCGATTTTGCCTTGCGTTAATAACGTTGGTATGCCTTCCTCCTCTTCCGTGACTGTTGAAGAGCTTCCAAGCAGGTTCGTGAAGTGGGTACACCATGCCTGGACAGTATCCTCAGCTGTCTTTCCACTTATTTCACCTGTTGAGGACTTCTTCCGTCTGCTGATCTCGTTGACTAGACGCCATGCTTTTCCAAGCTGCTTGCCTTCATTAGCAGCCTCTACCTCTCCAATCCGCTCGGCTGGTTCGTCTTCCTTTAGTTGGTCGTAGGTGGCAAAGAAATTATTTTTGCCGTTTTGAACTTTCTCTCTGAGCCTTTCTGTTTCGCTCCTTCTAAGCTCGGTGTGACTTGCATTGACCACTCTTCTTGCTGCGGCGAAGTCAGGGTGTTTCGAGATCCGGCTCTTCTTGATTCCCTGCACAGTAGGCAGACTCTTTGTCGCATCTGTGTGTGCGTCCATGAGGCGTTGATAGCGGTCGGTGGCAGTCTCTTCCTCCTCCCTCTCCAGCGGGCCAAAGCCATTTATCACCTTAACCGTCAACTGTACCTGAAGAATAGGTTGTACGAAAAGTGCCTTCAAGTCTATCTTCTCCTAGGGATCTGTGGATTTTAGGTGCGGCCGGCTCAGTCTGTGGTCAGAACTGACCGAGTTGAAGGCGCTACAGGCTTTTGTGCTGATCCCGCAGTTACGCCATGTTGTTCTCATAAGGATGTGGTCGAACTACTTCCTGTGATGGAAGGCTCTGTCGTCGTGTGTCCACGGTTTACCGACCGTTTTTTTTTTTAATTGAGTCTTGGTGGCAATGAGACTGTGTTCCTGGAGAAAATCAACTAGGTATTGTTCAATGCTGTTTGTAAGGTCGTGATATGAGTACTGGACGTCTCCCGGTCCGACCCGGGCTTAAAAATCAACGAGCATAGCCAGGAAGTTGTGTGCCGGTACTGAAGCGACAGCTTCGCGAAGTTTATAAGGTCTCCACCTCCTTCCCCTTGCTGAAGTTGTGCGGGGAGTAACAGACGATAACGGAGGCCGCCGAGTTTCCATCAAAATGAAGTCATTTTCTAGACTACTGATTTTATTTTTGGTGCCGATTTAATAAATCAATTCTCAATTCAGCAATTGGAATTTAAAATAGTCACCAATCACCAAAGAGAAACAAACAATGATTCGCTCTTTTTTGGTGCAGTTCATTGAGCCCCTTATGCTTTTGTCGCAATACTTTTTAAATTTTAATTTTAATTGAAACTTTATATTTGCTGATTAATCTTTCTAGCCTTACCATTTTTACATGCACAGCAACCTCCACACCAAAACCATCTACTACCCATGAAGCGGAACCCAATTCAGACACAACCACCACAGGAAGCGTATCAGATGGAACTAGTAATGGTATGTGTTTTGAAATAAAAAAAAACCCCATAAAATTAAGCTGTTTTATGGGTTCGTCACTTGTTAGGTTGAAAGCATAATTTGTTGAGTTCTTCTTGGCATGGCTTTAACAAGATTTTTGTTTTGAATGAATGTTGCCGATTTGCCATGATACTGATTGCATTACCACTTCCAGGCAGAACACATGTATACATGTATATTGGATATATGTCAAATGAGGAAAATATGCGTGACGTTTTAAAATTTATGCATTATAATGTTATTTTTTTTTGCATAGATGCAATATGAACCGTATATTCCACAGCAAAAATAATGATTCGATAATATATAACTTGATTTGATAACGTAAGAACGTGTGTGATTCGTATATGAAGAAAGAATCGTAATGTGTTTTTATTTTAAATCTTGAAACTTGTTTTGGAACTTGTAGCAAAATACAGAACAATGTTTTGAACCGCTAGTTTTTTTTGTTCTATTAATGTTGGTAGTTTTAAAACATTCACAGGTATAATAACTTCCACTCCAAACCCAATCTCAGCACTTGAGCAAACTACTTCTCTTGAACCATTCACCGTCACAGAGACAGCCCAACTTACTGGTAAGTGGTAACGAATATATCATGTGCTTGAAAAATAAAAACTGACAAACTTAATATTTCTTATTCTCGTTGAAACATTATTAACTATGGATAACTTCATACGGTCCATGCCTTTTTTATTGTGGTATCCCTGAATTTGCATGGCATTGTTTATTGTGCATCAATAAACCTAAATGGGATCTGAAGTCTGACATGCACTCTTTTGAAAGGATCTGAATGCGTTTCGTATTAATGACAATATTTAGAAAAATCGTTAAATAAACGTATACATATCAAGTATACCTTGAAAGGTACAGTTTCCTATCCTTGCGAGAATTTTGGTTCACAAAATTTCGATGGTTTTATTCACTGCTAGAATTACATAGGTCTATAGGCAAGGTCAAAAATATAAAGATGTAAACGAACGGTTTTTCCTCGACGGTAACTGTACGATAATGTGTTGATTTCTGTGTCACAGACCCTCATAATATGGCAAGTTAAGAGTATGATACACCAGCGATCCTGGGACGAAATATTGGTGGAATTATCCTCTTTGCTTAAATTCGTAAATGAAGGAGTACGTTTAAAATCCAACTATATTGCCGAAAATCTTTTTCACAAACTCAATATCAGGCAAGACTTTTTTTAAAGACGCGAATATTAAATGCAGCAGATATATCATTGACCACAGGCAAACCCAATATGTGACTTTGGTTCAGTTGCGTACCCATTTAACTTTGAGGCGCATAATCCCCAGGTTCAGAGCGTGGAAGAGGGGCACAAAGGGGTTCAGACTTGGAGCAGGCAGGGGCCTACGCACACGACCCACAACCCTCTTTGTTATATGTAATATAATAACAACAACAACAACAACAACAACAACATTAACAAAAACAACAACAACAATAATAATAACATTATTTATTGATTGTAGTCATGTCATCCGCCATTGGCTTGGACAAACCACTGTTTAGACCCTCCTCCAAATTTAAGCGTAAGCGACATTGAATTTTTTAGTGTTGTTTCAGATAATCACAGACATGACACACTCCGTTTTTGTAGCCAGTTTCACCGTCGAATTAGTCTTTAATAGGAACGGTTTCAAGAATTATGCCAAAGAAACACTGACTTTGAGTTTCTTTAACAAAGCCAAGTCAGCTCTGAACAAATTTCGCAAGTTGTCATCATTCAAGTTCAGTTCAGTTGATTCTTTCTCTGTGCATAATCAGGTGACGCAAAACCTGATTGATGTTACGGTTTTGATCTTCATCCTTAGATGAGTGTAGCCCACAAAATGAAACATCTTGTTCTGGAGATCTCACCTGCATCTTTCTTCTAGGACGCCACCAGTGTAACTGTCCCTTTGCATCTGGTCAGAGCGGTGATTCAGAAATTTGCATTGGTAAGATCTCATTTCACTAGAAATCCGTTCCCGAAAACACCTTCAGGCCATGAATAGAACAGCCAACGATAAGTCAAACATTGCAGGGTTTTATTAGGAAGATTAAGTTGGAAGGCGCGTTTCTTTGGAAGTGGTTGGGCTTTTTATCCCCCTAAATGACATTATCTTGTAACCCAACTATTTTACTTTCCTAACGCAACCCTTTCTAGTACTTTGTTTAACTGAAACTCCTTTAAAATTCCCGAACCTGGTAAGACTTTCCGGTTACTTTTCTAAAACATTCTTAAAAAAATTCATTCTTTCTACAAGTAAATGAAAACTTTCAATCACCAAATGTTTGCTGTTGAGCAACTGCTGGATGTTAAGATCATTGTTTTGTTGAAGATAACAAAATAAGGCAGTGTTCAACGGGCAATGTAACAATTTCTTGTGATACTTTTCGTTAAAAGCACTGATAGCGTACACCTGCCCTTGTAGGTAGGACTAACATAAATGTTATGATATTTGACTACAACTAGACCCGGTTCACTAAGATAGAGACACATGTTTGTTGTAAGATCTTGATTTAGGTGACGGAATAACTATAAATCCCTTTAAATGCAAATTCTAAATACGGCGTCCAATATAGGTCAATGGTCGATTTAGTATTGGATACGTGCGGTATAATGCTGTAATAAATTTGTAACTCTTTTCAGAGGTAGATGAATTTCGTCTATCGATTGTGATAGTAGAGTTTGTGCGAAGCAACGGCGCCATCATAACAGCCGAGTTTAATAGCGCCTTCCTCGACCCATCGTCCTCTGAATTTCAAACTCTCCAAGTGGACCTGGAACGAATAGTAAGAACAAAAATCTCGCCCACATTTTACCAAATACCTGTATATCCAATAAAAAAACGAAGCCTTACCTGAAGAATCTGAAACTTTCATTCGTAATTTTAATGTACAAATTCAATAACTCTGAACGATTAAACTGTTAAAACTTTGAGTAACACGATTGTTGAATTCAAATTGATTAAGATGTCATTCTCCATTTATTAGAAAAAATCATTATCTTACAAAATAATCAATATCTTATACATAAACAAAACCTTAATGGGTTTTTTTAGATTCGATTCCGTGTATAAGGGACACCCCCTGATGAGCTTAAAAGCTCGTAGGCTACTGTTAAGGAAACATTGGCAAACGTCGGCCATTTTTATGCTAAAGCAAAACTTAGAGTTGTACGGAGATTTTAGTGTAGGGGACAGCCAAGAAAAAAAATATATTTGCTAAGACAAGTTGCATGTTTGAATGAGTAGTAAAACCCTGTTTGTGTGTGTTTTTTCAGCTTCACACCGTGTTTCAAGACATGCCTGGTTTTCTGCGTGTTCGAGTTTTCAGTTTCTTCAGTGGAAGTATCGGGGTGGTGCCGATCGTATCATTCAACAAAGAATTACCGACGACCATGGAAATGGTTGAAGAAGCTCTGACGAGATCAATAACCGATGGCAATCTGCTGTCAGGATCTGAATACAAGGTCGTGCCAAGCTTAACCACTGCGCAGGAACGTATGTATAAATCTCTGTGGTGCAATAATTTGCTACAATAATATGATGTAGATCCGTAACAAAGTCTTGTGTGAGTGCGACAATCGCATGCCATGATGGTTATGACATGACATTTTTGAAGTATCGGGTTTGATTCCTGCGACTTTCACATGTTTAAGGAAGCAGTTGGCTATAAACTGAGAATACCTCTAAGCGGAGACTGGTGAATCGTTAATTCTAATCAAAATCTGCACATATACTTAAACTTGTCACGGGCGTCATGTATTCAAAAGTTGCATTGATGAGGATCTACCTATCGACCTGCCAAGTCCTTTGGAACCCCTAATGAATTTTGGAGGATGTGGGTGCGTGGTATGGCAGTTATTGTTGATTATGTGGTGAAAGCCAATATCTTGTGATTCCTTTTGCTTTTGTCATTTAAAAACACAAAGGTAAGTCGCCAAGCTTCTTGAGAAAATCGTTGCTGATGCTAAGTACGGAATATTTAGAGGCTATAATCTTGTGCTCTTGAACACAGGGTCGCGCTTTTTGTACACATTAATCGCCGTCAGAGTGTGAAATCTTGGGAATTCAGTTCGTCTTTGATAACTCTTCCATCTTCAATAAATGTAGATGAATTACACGGAAACAGTGTTTTACAAGGAATAAGGTGGTATAAAAGCAACAATATGGTCTGAAATTGATTGCTACGTGAACATTTCGCAAAAACACCCAACTTCAATTATTGTTGAATTACTTTATACATTCTTCCGTTTTAACATCATTCAAGTTATGAATATGCAAGAACCTTTCTTGGTCCGAACGTTCGGAACATGGTGAAAGGCGAACTCGTATTAGGTGTATCAAAACGTAAACCTAAAATAATTGATTCCTATGTGACAAAAATGATCTTTAACACTGTAAGCGCAGTGGCGTCACCAGACTTTTCAGTCTGGGGGGGCACAGGGGGGGCACCAGCATTTGATGGGGGGGGGGCACTTAGGTGGATACGGATCGCCGTCCTGGGGGAGGGGTCTAAGGGGAGGGGGTGCCCCCTCCCCTTTGGAAAATTTTCGCATACGGAGGATGGGCTAGATGCAAAATGGTGCCACATTTGATGCTAAATTCGATCTGAAGATATCTCCAGAAATTGCTATTTTCGAGGTAATGATTTTAACAACGCGCAGAATTTTTTTTTACCAACCCAAATCTCAGATGGGGGGGGGGGGGGCACTCGGGGGGCACTAGGTTTTCCAGGGGGCACGTGCCCCCCCTGCCCCCCCCCCCCCCTTGGCGACGCCACTGTGTAAGCGTACTTACAGGGAAGGTACTATAGCTTTGAACAGGTGACCATGAATATTTAGGAACAGAAACAAAACCGTCCTTCGCCTAATTAGCCTGAAATGATGCACTGTCACTGCCGACCTTGAAAACTCCCATTTCAACACAGTCAAGGGTCGCGGTGCATCTCGCCCCTGCATCAGCCCAACTTGGCCAAGAGATTTCAGTTTTAACTTTTGAAATCAGTGGTACTCAATTATCCATCGCGGGTGGGTTTCACCTTACAAGAAAGGTATAGTGGAAACCAAAATTTGGTAAGCCCCTTTCTAAATGCAACCATACTGGCACCTGGCAATCCATACATACCAACACATTATGGATACACCTTGTGCAGTATAACACGGGATAGTTTATCACGGGATATTGTCAACTCAATGATAGCAATTAAGTAAACTGTACACAGGTGGATCATAAAAAAATGTTTTATTTACAGTGAATATTATTGCAGTCATTGGTTACTTATAAGAAGTTATATTGGTTTTCAGTTGTGTGCGAGGATGGGTATTGTCTTAATGGAGGCACGTGCACACCCAGTACTGTGGACTATGCAAGCACATGTTTGTAAGTATCCATGGATGTTAAGATTAAAAGGTAAATGATAGTTAATTTTGGTCCCAAGCATTATGAAAATAAGCGGTGAAGTTAAGCAATGTGGTTATCAGAAAAGGATGAGAACATCTAACTTCTTGGTATAGACGTTTATAAACCAATCGCTGCCACCTGACAAAAGATGTAGGTCAGTAAAAATCTGTTGACGCTTGGTTAGCGTATGTCTGTTGATTTAATGAAATCAACCAGCATCAGTGTTGTAGTCCAGACCTAGCTCGAGACCGAGACCGAGACCGAGACCTGAGGACCGAGACCGAGACCTCAGGGTCCAAAGCCAAAAGCGAGACTGAGATCTTATGGGCGAGACCGAGACCGAGAGCTTCAGTGTTGTAGTCGAAACCTGAAAGCTCGAGACCAAGACCGAGACCGAGACCGAAGTGTCCAAAGCTGAGACCGAGACCGAGATCTTATGGGCGAGACCGAGACCAAGACCGAGATCTTAGACTAATCAGCATAGGGTAATGAGAGATATATATTTATCACAAAAAAAAATGATGCTAAAAGTTTTTTTCTGAATGCTGAATGAATACAAATGAATTCAAATGTTGTAATAATGCATCCCCATAAATCGCAACCACTTGTCAGACTGTTTGAAAAGAAAACTAGCAGAGATACGAACACCTGCATTTTTATCAAAGCTGATTTTCACTAAAATAACTTTTATTAATCGAAAATATCATTTCAGAGTATTTATTTAAACGTACTTCGAACAAGTAGAAGTACAAGTCAACAGTACCAAATACGTAATGAATTTGCCCGAATCAAAATCAGTGTCGGAAATGTGTGCCCGACCGAGTTTTTCACGAAATAGATATATGGATTTTACTCCAAAACTGGGAATTTCCAAGGTGGATTGATCCGTCGCAAATGGAAGAGTTTTAGAAAAAGGATATTAATTCTGAATTTCAGCCCAGGAAATTAACTATGGTTAAAATGAGAGCATTTTGACATAAGTGTGCGACGTTGCAAGATTTTAGTACACGAGAACAAAAGAAGTACCCCACTTCTATGCCTATGTAAGCGTGTGTGAACTCGCTGAGGTGCCTCGCAAAAGCTGAGCTTGTGCCAGCCAGCCTCTCTGTCAGCTTAATGTTGCAATAACTGCAGATCGCAGTGCTTCAAACTGTTTGCCATCCGGTCACGGAATTCAGTGTGGTCCTGAAACCAAACTTCATCACTGCGGAGTGTGTGCCGACATGGCTGCGCTTGATCAACTCGATGCGGTCCACACGCATAGCGCATGCGGTACAGTGCATTGCACCAAGTACCGCAAGGGAGTTTGCTTTACTAGAAATGTGGTGACATGTGGGTACCAGACTATTTGATTTCGTTCCTCGGAATCGATAGCACCGTCTATCAAAACTTTCGAAAGCAAGTCAAATATGGTCAGATGTAAATATATTAAGGTTTTTTGTGGTTTTCCCTACTAAATAATAAGGTCTCGTTTGCTCGAGACCCCACAAGATCTCGAGACTTTTACTCCGAGATCGAGACCGAGACCGAGTTTTTTTTTTAGTCGAGACCTTGAAATTGTCGAGACCTAAGTAAATCAGTCTCGATATACCAGCCTCGATACCGAGACCTGCCTCGAGACCTACATCACTGACCAGCTTACATTTGAATTTTATAACACCACATCCACAAATTCTGTGTCTTAATTGGCCGAGAGCGAGTCACATGATACTTTCTATTTTGGCTATCTTTCTGTGCACGGCCAAAAGTACTATACCCGTAGCAACCAAAGTACTATACCATTAGCAACCGCATGCTGGTGTGCACGTTGCGCGTTGCACGTAGCGCGTTTTGTTCCAAAGAGAGCGCACCACAGAGTTTGGTTCAAACATTTGGCGAAGGGGTGGTTTGGAAGAGAGAAATACATTGTCCACCAATTTTGTATTGAAATTGAATTTTTATTTCAACTGTGTTCAGATTTAAATAATTTGAACTATATAAACCAAGCAGAATCTGTGGGTGAAGTGTTAAAAAACAAATAGTGAATGCTTTATCTCGTGGTGAAGTAAAACTAGCCTCCCTCGGTGATCCATGGAGCATTCTATTTTCCCTCGGCTTCGCCTCTGGAAAATAGAATATCTATGGATCACCTCGGGAGGCTAGTTTTACTACACCACTCGAAGCATTCAATATTTGTATACTACCCCAATTAGCACACCAGGCGTGCATCTTCTTCGCCGAGAGGAGCCACATGAGCTTTTTCGCTATTTTTTTGACGGACAACTTTTTTGGAGCTTTTTCCCTTTATCATTTAAAAGTATTTGATTTGAGAACTGGATGCTATATGAGACTTAAACTGTCAACATGATCAAGCTATCTTATGTGCTAGTAAGCAGGTCAGTGGTTCCCCTCTGTGCGCATGAAGTTTGTGATTGTTGGTTTTTATAAGCTTGAAGACCACGGAAAATAAAGTGCGTATTAAATATATTAAAAATAAGCTGTTCCACAGCAGCATTATAAAAGAGCTATGAGTTATTTTCTTTTATTGTGGTTTCTGATTTGTATCATTTTTACAGATGTGCTACCGGCTACTCAGGAACAAGATGCGATGAAGGTCAGGGTCAGTCTCGGTCAAAGATGTATTTTCAAAATATCACGACTCCCGAACTTGGTCATTATTTAATCGACCCTATAATACCTCAAAACATTTATTACCATTTATTATTTATTAACACGTCTTCCCTAAATTCATCATATGACTTTTTATCATGCAACGGGTGCTTATTTAGAATTGTTGTTTTTTGATTATCTAATATTTCCACTGTACGCAGGTGTGTCATCGATTACTATCATCTTGATTCCTGTGGCGTGTTTGGTGTTAATTGCCGTCATTGTCGTCGTAGTGTGTTGTTTCTTTGCTGTGGGTGTTATTAATCGCCGTGAGCAGCAATTATATCAAGATCATCACGGTTGGGATATGCCCTCAGCCGATGACATGGACTTATTCTACAACCTGAGATACCACACTGGATCGGTGAGGTCATGACATCCAATCTTTAAAAGTAACATTTTCATCAATAAAAAAAGTACCAAAAGCAATTAATCTTCTTGTGGAATTAAGATCCCTTAATTAATGGAAAATACTCTTGCCACCGCTTAGAATATCCATCACTTATGACGTCATAGTTAACAAAAGTATAACAGATTTTTGAAGCTTAGGCGTAGCCAGCGGGGGGGGGGGGGGGGGGGGGTATTTATACCTTGTAAAGACTACCTTTTTTTCCATTCAAATGCCCTCTTTTCAACGGACCCTCCCCCCCCCCCCGCCAATAATTTGTAAAGAGTGCCCTTTTTTCTAAACAAGTGCCCTTTTCAAAAAAGAAGTGGTGCCCTCTTTTGTGGCATGTGCCGTTTTGGGTGGTTTTTTCAGAGTTTCGCACCAGTATCGCACCATATATTGGTCCTGTATGTGTGCATAATTGTCGGTTTTGAGATGGTATATCAGCCCCCCCCCCCTCCGCTTTTTGATTTTACGGAGGCCAAGTGTCTGGAGAAAAAAATGTCTACATTTCACAACGCATGTGCAAATGCCCTTTAAAAAAAATGTACCTCCTCAATAAAAATGACCGTGCTACGCCCCTATGTAGTAACAATTGACAGCAACACAAGGGCTTCAAGTAGATATGAGTGATGACAAACGCACATTTCTGTTTTATGTGTATTGTATTTATTTCACGCGCATTGAATTCTGTATTATGTGTAATGTATTAAGTTTTTGTTCTAAAACGATGCTTATTTAAACAGGCTCGGAAAGTGCCAAGTGGAGGATTTGGAGCTGGTACGGCTTACATTGCAAGCGGAATGGAGGCTGAGGAAATTGCGGTAAATCTTGTCATACTATGACTTCATTAGTACATCGCCAGTCATCCATTCTCAAATCAAATACCAAGCTTCTCACAGTGACGAAGGCATTACTTTGTCATTTTCATCTCCTATTAATCGCGACCCGATTTGTGACCCGATTGATTTCCACACCCCTCTATCTGTTGTACCAATGACAATTGGATTCATGTGTGCAAGAAGCCTTGAACGTTCTCTCTCCGACTCAGTCAAACAATTTGCATTTATCTGAGATAACAAAATGTACTTTTTTCAAGTGAACATTCAATAAATACGACTAAAACTAGGAAAGAGCCAGTTCAATTATATTGTGAAATTCATTGAAGCATAAGATGGAATGTCCACACGACAGTTTCAATTGGAGTGATTCTTTTCCAACGTATTTCAATCTTGAATTAGAGTGATCTCCACTGGACATCATATGGTCCTAGGTTGATTTCTTTGTAAATGAAACAACACAGATATACAAAATTATTCCAAATCACCCGAGATCAGCAACGGTTAACTGATTGTGTACCATTTTTTTCCCTTTTAGATGCACGATTTACGCCGATTCCGCAACTCGGTCATTTAAATGGAGATTTGCCTAGCTGCAGCTGGATGAACGTGAAGTTTTTGTAATCGTGGAGACGAATCGGCAAATTAAAGTCTAAAGGTTTTACTATTCTCATATTAATCAGGGATGTTTAGTGGTTGTAGTATTTCGGCATTCCAACAGCTGAGGTCGCACGTTAGCAGTGAATGCAAAGTAACATCGGTGAAAGCATATCGTCTATTCTAATGATACATCCTTTCCTATGAACACAACACCAAATTAATATACAACATATATTACTATATATAGGGTACGGCTTGCCAAGGGGCAGTCAACCAGTTGGAGCTGGCTCTTTAATTGTTTAATTATAAACAATAATTATACAGATATTCAATGTAATCGTACAAACTCCCGAATAAACCCACTGGATTAAAAACCAGAGATAAAACTCAATGAGCAAAAACTCTGGAAAACCTTGTGGTTGCCAGCAAAACAAAACGTTTCGAACGTTTACATAAAGCTATTTTTAAAGCTGATCCATTCTCAGTTTGTTCTTAACTGACCTGAAGTCGCAAGCTAGAATGATCCTCCCCACGCCTTCGCCTCGTACGTTCTACGTACATTCTATGCATGTCTTTCATATTAAAATTTGACACACCCTTTCCACCCTTATACGCACCACCGCCTCGCGGAATTCATTCCTCAAACGATTAGACAAATTTTGACTGCTATACAACCGTAACGCAGGCAAAGATAATTCTCATTACTTGGATGATGTTAACTTTCTTAGATAATGGTAGCAATCATTTTTCGAAGACGAAGAAACTACAGAGAATTTGGACAAATGAAGAGCCACAGTTTTTAACAGATCATCACGTTTTAAAGTCTTCATAATACAATAACAAGATATCACTAGAACTGTGAAAAAGTCTCTTGTGGCCGCACTTTAACTGATTTCAAAATGTCTTTCAATCGTGAAAGACTTGAGATTGTGAAAGATTGAGTCGATTCCAACATTGTGAAGAAATACCTTCTGTATTTACCTAGAACAACTAAATTGATAACATTTTAGAACTTAGACCAGATCGGTTGTTATTTGTATATTACCCCATATAATTATATGTATATCTTAAAGCCTAGTCTAAAAAGAAGGACAATTTTATTGATTTTTAACTTAAAATTTAGCGCCTTTGTTAAATACGTAATACTGTGTAACAGTATATTAATCAGCGTTTGACAATATTTAATTGCACTAGAAAGCAGGTGGTCGCGGGTTCAAATCCAACCCGAGTGATTTTTTTCCAACTTTCACTCGGGAGGTAACACACTGAGTATACAGCTTATACGTCTGTGAAGGGCAAAACCTATATTTGATATACATCACTCCGACGCAAAAATCCCATCTTATGAATAGTTAATGCGGTACCCGCTGCTATGTACATTATATTCGAACCAGCCAACACTCCGTTAGCTCGGTGGTCGAGTGGTAAGACATCTGCACTAGAAAGCAGGAGGTCGTGGATTCGAGTCCCACCCGAGTGATTTTCCCCCTAATTTTCACTCGGGAGGTAACACACTGAGTATACAGTGTTTATACGTCGGTGAAAGGCAAAACCTAAATTTGATATGAATCACCCCGACGCAAAAATCCTATCTTATAAATATTTAATTAATACTAAATTCCACAAGACTGGGTTAATGGTTAAAAGGTAGATATATGTATTCATTTTTATATTACCCAATATAATCATATATCCAGGGTTGATAAAAAAAAAAACACGAAACCGAGATATTATTGCTAATTGGAATATCCTCTGTTAGAGTTGAATCTCCTCTTAAAAATGACACCCTCATCATGTCCTTACATTCACGGTTGACTGAGCAGTGACCCATTTTATGAAAGGGTCTATTTAGAGACTTGCGCCATTTTTTATGGCGAAATCGCTCTTTTCCCCCCCACCAGCCTTGATTGGCAACCATAGCCTTTCACTCTGTGACAACTGACGCAACAAAAACCACAATTAAAAAGTGGCGCAATTCTCTAAATAGACCCTTTCATAAAACTGGTCACTGCTCAGTCAGCCTTGAATGTAATGACATGACCAGAGGAGATTCAACCCCAACAGAGGATATCTCCCTTTGATTCACACGTGACTTACTTCTGTTGCAATTAGCAATAATACCTCGGTTTCGTTTTTTTTTTATGCACCCTGTATATCTAAAAGTTGACTAATCTTAAACTAGAAAGTAGGCCGTAGGCCAATTTCATGTATGTTTAACTGAAAATAGCACTTTTGTTGAATGCCTTATACGTGATGTATGTTTAACAGTACTTTAATCAGCGTATAACAATATGTAGTAGAAATGTACAAGTCCAAGTAAGATGTTATAGGTGGATATGTGTGTATGTTCATTCATATTTCAGCGTATAGAGGCCTAAAAATAATACTAAGCCTTAAAAACAAGATCCCTTGTTGTTACCCAACGTAGCGTTTATTTTTTGAGTATGTATTTTAGCACAAAACTCAAAAAACATTACTACGTTTCTAAAAAGGAAATAGTTAATGTCAGTTTTAGCATGTACGTTTTATTAAATCATCATTACCATTTGGGTCATGTTTTTAAAATTAAAGGTTCTAGGGCTCATGAGCTTTTTGCTCATTTGTTTCCACTTGTGAAAAATTGAGTCGTTTCCAACATTGTGAAGAAATACCTCTGGATTTACCTAGAACAACTAAATTGATAACATTTTAGAGCTTTAATCCAGATCTGTTATTTTTTGTATATTACCCCATATAATTGTATGTATATCTTAAAGCCTAGTCTAAAAGTAGGACAATTTCATTGATTTTTAACTTAAAATTTAGCGCCTTTGTTAAATACGTAATACATGTGTAACAGTATATTAATCAGTGTATAACAATATTTATTTGCACTAGAAAGCAGGAGGTCGCGGGTTCGAGTGCCACCCGAGTGATTTTTTCCAACTTTCACTCGGGAGGTAACACACTGAGTATAAAGTTTATATGTCTGTGAAAGGCTAAACCTTTATTTGATAAACATCACCCCGACGCAAAAATTCCATCTTATGAATAGTTAAGGCGGTACCCGCTGCTATGCACATTAGATTCGAACCAGCCAACCGATCCCGTTAGCTCGGTGGTCGAGTGGTAAGACATCTGCACTAGAAAGCAGGAGGTCGTGGGTTCGAGTCCCACCCGAGTGATTTTTTTCCCCAATTTTCACTCGGGAGGTAACACACTGAGTATACAGTGTTTATACGTCGGTGAAGGGCAAAACCTAAATTTGATATACATCACCCCAACGCACAAATCCTATCTTATAAATATTTAATTAATACTAAATCTCACAAGACTGGGTTAATGGTTAATAGGTAGATACATGTATTCATTTTTATATTACCCAATATCATCATATATACAGGGTTGATACAAAAAACCCGAAACCGAGATATTATTGCTAATTGGAATATCCGCTGTTAGAGTTGAATCTTCTCTTAAAAATGACACCCTGATCATGTCCTTACATTCACGGTTGACTGAGCAGTGACCCATTTTATGAAAGGGTCTATTTAGAGACTTGCGCCATTTTTTATGGCGAAATCACTCTTTTTTCCCCCACCAGCCTTGATTGGCAACCATAGCTGTTCACTCTGTGACAACTGACGCAACAAAAACCACAATTGAAAAGTGGTGCAATACCTCGCAAGATAATAAGTGGCGGCCGCCACATGAGTCGTCATAAGTGGCGGCCGCTGTACAAAAAAATATTTTCACACGTACACAAAAAATATATTCACACTTTTTAATGTGGCGGCCGCCACTTATTATCTGGCGGCCGCCACATAAACAAAATTGTGAATATATGTTTTGTGTACAGCGGCCGCCACTTATTATGACGACTTATGTTGCGGCCGCCACTTATAATCTCGCGGCCACCACATAATAAGTGGCGGCCGCTGTACAAAAAAATATTTTCACACGCACCAAAAAAAAAAAAAATCACACTCATTGAGTGGCACTATCCGTCTTCCGTAATTGCTCAATAACAATGGGAGGCATCCCTCGATATCTTCAACACGTTCACAATTGAGACGGAGAGCAAAAACAGGAGGCTTTGATACAAAAGTAAAGGCTATGATACGCTTTAGTAGATCTTCCAATCACCGGAGATGCACGATCAAAGTGCAGCACAAAAGTAAGAATTACTTCCTTGCATTCCTTATCACAACAGGAAACCACTGGGGTTGCAAGCCTGTGATAAGCTAAACTCATAAAGAGGGTTTCGACATAACCAAAACGTCTTCAGAGCAGAGGTAAAACACTTTGATGAGGCGTTCATCGGGTTAGGATGGCTACAGGGACGCGAATTATGCTTCCCCCAAACAGCATCGTATGGATGCTTGTTGAACGCCCTCTATACGAAACCTTTATTATACGTACGCAGGTATAACATGGCATGAATTACGGTTTGCTGTCGAGATCTTTTTCTTTCTTTTTTTCTAATTAACAGCTTTTGGAGGATTTTTTTTATAAGGGAAATGAAGTCCGAATTTCATTGGATCGAATTCATTTCTTGTATTTTCCTTTGAATATTATTGTTTTCATGTTTTTAGGGAGGTAAAAGTCCAACACCTCAAAACGTATACATCCCATTTGCTTATGTCCTTGTAATTAAAAAATTATGACCCTACACACTTTTAATACTCCCTCGATAAAATATCTCTCAAGGTACGGCTTACTCAGGGCTGTTGTTACTCAGGGCTGTTGTTACTGCTGCCGAGCAGACAAGCTGACTCGTTCACAATGTATCGCGCATTTCTCTCCATCGTTCACAATGAACGTCCGTTTCAGCTTGACGGAATTTTGGAGTGATGGCATTGTGTTCGTTTTTTGTAAAGATTTCCTTCTGGGTCGATTTTTTTTCTATTGACCAAACAAGGAGGGTAAGGTCAAGCCTCGGACACAAACGTGGTGTTCCCCCTGCCCTGCAAACAGGGCGCTAGGAAGAGCTGTTACGACTGATAATGTATTAACCAACGGATAACGTATCACCAACCGATAATGTATCACAAATTGACCGATATTGTATCACTAACCGATAATGTAGCAAAAATTGACTGATAGTGTAGTAAAATTTGTATCCGATAATGTATCACGTGTCGACGGATAATGTAACTACAAAATAACTGTATCCGATAATGTATCACCACCGAACGGATACTGTATCAACTGATAAAGTATCAAAAATCAACCGATAATGTGTCAGTATGGGGAAAAGGTGTACACAAATGTTTGTTTTATGTCCTATATATCCCGCCCCACTTTTAGACCGGGGAAGGGGGTCTGGGCTATTGGATCACCCCACTCCCATTATTTTGTATTTAGAGAAAAAAAAGCAAATCTTGAGGTGTTTTTTAAACTTTCCAACCGCCGAAATGTATTAAATAGTACTGAGAAAGGGAGAAAAAAACACAAAAAGCTTGAAAAGCGCTGATACATCTGTATCACGAACAGCGCCCCCAGTGTCATGTGGTCTCCAGCCCCCCTCAGTTTTTTATTTTACCCTGGAGCTATGGGCTCCGTGCACAAGTGCCCCTTCAACTGCCAGAAACGGAGAGTTGGGGGAGGACCTAGACTGGTCCCGGTCCGTCCACTGCGTATTTTGAATGATGCAAAGTTATTGGGGGAGGGAATAGTCTTTGAGACCATCGCAAGTTAAATTGAACGTATGCGCGCGCCGACGTTGCCTGACAATCATGCGAAGACGCTGCGGCTAATAGCCTTGGCACATTCTGGAAGTGGCGTTGAACTTTGCGCGCGAACAAGTACAATACAGTTCGCACATGCTGTGTCCCGTCCATTGATCTCCATACGGAGATCAATGGTTCCGTGCGTCCATGCATGGTGCTCTCAAAAGTGGTAAAACGCGCCCTCTTGGGTTGGAGCACGGAGCCCATACGGAGGCCAAGTGTCCGGAGAAAAGAACTTGTCCACATTTCGGCGCGGATGTGCGAATGCAGTTAACCTCCCCCCCCCCCCCGACATCAAAAGCTGGATACGCAACTAGCCTAGGCCCACTTGGAAGTAGAGCGTCTGCAAACCAGAGCAACTCCCTCCCAAATTCACAAAAAAAAAAAAATCTTAATGATAAACTTTCCCGAGAGGGGACTTATCATAGCGAAGACACTTATTAGACTTTAATTAATTTGCAACATTTCCACCTTTTCCAAAT